TATATAATTAAATATATTATATATAAATATAATTAAATATATATATATATAATGAATATGATTAAATATAATATATATATATATAATGTAATATATTTATATAATTATATTATATAAATTATATATAAATAAATATATATATATATATATATATAATTAATATATGTATATATGTATATAATTTTATATATATATATATATATATATATATGTATATATATATAATTATATATTAATTATATATATATGTATATATAATTATATATATATAATTATATATATAGATATAGATAGTAGATAGATAGATAGATAGATAGATAGATAATTAAATTTTATATATAAATATATGTATTATATAAATATATAGATATACATATAGATATAGAATATAGATATAAATATAGATAAATATATATATATATATAGATAGATAGGTATATATATATAATATATAGATAGATAGGTATATATATATATATATATATATATATATATATATATATATATAGTATATATATATATATATATACACAGCACACACACACACACACACACACACACACACACACACACACACCCACACACACACACCACAACAACCACACCACACACACACACACCACACACACACCACACACACATGAATATACATTTACATACATACTTGTATATACTATTTAGAGTTCAGCAACATGCACTTCTCTTCTACACACACTGTCTCATCAGTTTCCTCGACTTCGTCCTTGCCCACCTCAACAAGCGCAAATTCGCCGTCACCAGCATCTACTTAGATTTCCAGAAAGTCTTCGACCTGGTGAAACCCACACCATGATCATCTCAAACAAGCAGTTTCCACAGGCTTCAGGGAGTGCCTCATCTGCTGGCTGGTAGACTTTCTTTCCAACAGGCAGTAGGCCGTGTGTGTGCAGGGTCAAGTTTCCTGCCTCCTGCCACTCACATGTAGAGTCCCCCAGGGAAGTAATAGGGCCCCCTGTGCTTTCATGTCGTGATTAACGACACACTTCTGGACACTGAGCATCAATGGCAATGTGTGGATAACTTGACCACTGCCACTGCTATTGACATTTCCTGCCCTGACCACTCTCTACTCCAACACATCACCGTCAACAAAAAGCTTTCCTGGATGCAGCATGTCAGTTCTGCTTCACATCTGGCAGCACCTCAAGTCCCTTGGTGTCTCACTTTCGTAGCTTCTAAATATATATACCTCTCCAGCCTGGGTCACCTCCCTCATTGCCACCCAGCTACAACTCAAGAGGCTGCAGAAAAAGGCACTACCACTACCACTGTAGCACAATACCCACTCTAGTCTGACACATCAACAAGCACAAAGTCAGTGACACCCCCCCCCCCCCTCTCCACACACACAAACAGCTGCACTAGTCCACAATTACTAGTCCAGCACTGCCAGTTCACCTGTACTTGTACCTGTCTGTTATTTTGTATTTGCTTCATTTGTTGTTATATTGTTCATAGCTTGTTAGTTGTTTAATGTGTTTATGTATATATAGTTTGTCTCTTATATGGCTACATGAGAATTAATAAACAATTGATTGTTATTACAATTATTATTATTATTATTATTATTATTATAATTTTTAAAAATTGTTATACAACAAATCGTTTTTGAAGGAATCACATTAGCCCATTTTTCAAGGAGTTTGAAAAGGGAAGGAGCTTACAAAATGGAAATAAATCAAGTAGTCAGCGGTTACTTGACAGAAACTTTTTTTGTCTTCATAGCGCAGCACTACTAAAAAGACCCCTTTGATCTAGATATGGGCAAACCTTTGATTTATATAATGTATGAATGTATGTGTGTATGCATGTATATTTATGTAGATATATATGTATGCAGATAGATAGATATAAATATATATAGTCATATTTATTTATTTATTCATATTTCCATATTGTTACACAGTGGAGATGCAAAATAATAATGTTTGATTGGAAAATAGAGCATTGGAATTATAAATAACCTATTAGGTCCTATTGGTTATTATTTGTAGTAATCTTAATATCTAATCTGAGTAATTTATATTTCCTCAGAGTATCACTACAAGAGCAGCAGAATGGCAGAAAATATGAAGAAATCGCCTGTTGTCATTAAGTTATACAGCACACCAGAAGTGCCTGAAGTTGTTATTGATATCAACGAACTTCCTGATGGAGGGGATAAATGTGGCATTGAAACTAAAAGCTACATCACTGATTTTGAAGCAGATAATGAGCTAAGAGTTCGAAGAGGCAAAAGGATCTATGTAAAAAGAGTGAATAGAAATTTCCAAAGACATGAAATCATGGAGCGAGGATTTCTGCAAACAGGAGAAGGTACAGGTTTAAATACACCAATTAAATGTGCCAGTAATACACCAGAAGCAAAATTGGTTAGCCCTAGAAATCTCAGTTTGTCAGAGAGAAGCGTAATTAAGAAACCAGCCTCTCTAAAGAAATCACGAACTTCAAAAAAAGCCAAAAGGGTAAGCATAGGAATTCAGTGTGATAGTAGTGAACTAGAGGCAGTAACCACGGAAACTAGTCAGCCCAGCTATGCACGGAAAGTAATTGTCCTTCATAGTAACTTTTATAACCCTCCATACCATACACCCAAGAAACATGCAGCCTCAAAAAATTACATTTGGAAAAGAAGCAGTGCTTCAAGTAGAGTGTTTGAAAGTCCAAAAGATTGTAAGATCAGAGATGAAGGATTTTCTTTTGACACCAAGATAGGGAAAATACCTGAGATGACAAAGGAAAGTAACTCACTAGTGGGATTTGATGAAAAGAAGGGCTGTAATGTGGACAGATTTGTTAATTCAGAAAAACCTGTGAATAAAAGTTCATATATTCTATCTTCTTCCTTGAAAAGCTGCAGAGCTACTCCATCACAGTCATTGTCAACACAAGAATTGCAACAAGAATTACTTCCATCCATTGTGCTCGAAGATATTACTGATGTTGAAAAAATGGAGGGACAGAACCTTGTAAGTGTAAATGCAACCACGTTACACTGCACTTCAAAACATGATTATGATTTTCCCTCTGTAACCAGTCCTCAGCTTGAAAATCTTCCTAGCTATAAAATCACTCATGTGGTGAAAAGTCCTCCTCAAGACACTTTTGATAATGTTTCACAAGAATGTCTGTCACCCACATCAGCATCCAGAACACCAAACAATCAAGGATCTAATAACTTTACTCGTAGTGAAACAGAAGCAGCTCAAATTATGCTTGAACTCTTTTATAGTGGAAACATAACAAATGTAGAGAAAAATGAATTCTATGAATCTAATGCTGGAGATCTTTATAGTGGAGCTCAACCCATAGTTATGGGGGATGGAAATGAAAGCCAAGAACAAGCAAAAACTGTTGAAACTGTAGTAGATGAAAGTAGTACTGTAAACTCTTTTCAAAATCAAGAAAGAGTGACAGATATTCAGCCTTCTACAGACACTGAAGTCACAGAGAATAATTCAAGAAATATGACTCATAACAATCATGAGATCTTAGGCACCCAAAACACAGACAGCCCACCAAAGGCAAGGCGTAGAGGTCGACCACCCAGAAATCAAAGTAAATTAGCTCAGGCTCAAGAGCGTGTTCATGAAAAGAGAATTATTCCCACAAGAGGCCAGCAAAAAATGATGGGCAGTCAAAGAAACTACAAGCGTAGAGTAACTAATGGAACTTCTTCAGACCAGATACTAAAAAATATGGTTGGTAAGAAAATAAGTAACAAATTTCAGACTGGAATGCCAGTTAGTGTGAGACGAAGCAAAAGATTTCAAGGTTTATCTGGAGCTTTAACAAAATCAACAAAAAAGTTGAAGAAAAGTCAAGCATTGAAGATTAAAAAGACACAAGGAAGAACAGGATGTAAAGTATATCAAATAAATAAACCAAAGCATAGTGAGAATAAGGAAAATAATAATCAGGAGGATTTTCCTGAAGATTTTAAAGAAAAGATTGCCCAGACTTATAATTCAGAAGATAAGCTTATTAGTGAGTCAAGAGATTCAGATGTTGAAAGTACCTCAGCTTTCAAAGAAGATGAAATAGAAATGAATTATAAACCAAGCAGGAGAGGTAGCATGGGAGTTAGCTTTGCAGATGACATTAGTTACCCATTTGAGCAAAACATGTTGTTCAATGCTCTTGGCTTAGTTGAGAGGAATAGTTCAAGTACCTTTAAGCCCCATGACACTCCTCCCTCTCATATTGCTCACAGAACAAGAAATATAACGGCTTATTTCAGAAGAATGCGAGAATGCCAAGTGGTGCTAGAAGACTGTCACAAGATGTTGAAAAACAAAACATGCTTAGAAATTGATAATCCTGAATGTGATCAGATTGAAAGAGGAAAATCAAGTCCAGTGAGTGAAACAGAAACCTCTTACACAAATCTTTTTAGTCCAGTCCATGACTTTAATTTTGAAGGTTTTCTCACCACTGATATAGATATTTGTGATGATTTTGTTCTGTCTGATTTAGAATTTGATGAAGAACTAAGATACCCAATAGATATCCCTCAGAGTTCAGTTGAAACAGCAGGAAGACAGGATGGTAATTTAGAGATTCCTGCATCAGTACCTCATAATGTAAATATTGAAGAACTCAGAAATTTGGAAAATGAAGTAGCGGATGCCAATACACTCCATTCTGAAGCAGACAGTCAACAATTTATAGGTGAAAAGGAAATTAAAATTAATGAACTGCAGAAGGGAGATATATCACAGCAAGTAGCTAATAATTGTAATCCTGAAGAGATTAGGGAACCTATTCATCTAATTAATGATACAAAAGAAACATGTTCTGCCAGTGATAATTCTCTCCCAGGTTTGAATGGTGTCCAAAATAAGGAAAGAAGGTTTAATGCTAATAAAAATGATGTAAACAAGAATAAGTGTCTTATCTGTGGAAAGTCATGCTTTACAAAAGCAAAATTGAAGAGACATAGTGCCAAACACCATAAGAATGAAGATCAGTTGATGGAACAAGATGAAATTTCAAATAGCAGCATCAGTTCATTATCGGAAATCAATGGAAAAGAATGTTGTGAATTAAAAACTCTAAGATTGATGCTTCAAAGCCCAGAACTCACAACGCCATCAAAACCTGAAGAATATTCTGAAGACCATGCAAGAAATTCAAGTCTGAAACAAAGTGATGATGGTGTTTCGGAAATTGTTAATTCAGATGATAAAGATGAAAAGGAACCTTGCACACAGCAAGTGCATGCAGAAAATATAACAAAAGAAAATGAATGGACAGATAATATGAATTCAGTTTTTGATGTCGACATTTGCAAAACAGTCCAAACAGACTTGAATCCCATAAAAGAACAAACTTTGGTGGTTGAAGATCTTTCTTTAATTGAACCATTTATTACAGAGTGTAGGAAAGACATTTTCAAAGTGTCAGACAGTAAAACAAGGTTGGCCAATGATGATGTAGATCCCATTCCAAAGAATCCACAAAAAAGAAAGTTGAGAAATAGTGGTAGAGAAAATGAATCCCTTAATAAACAGTTAAGAGTACTATCACAACCCACCAATAACAAGGAAGAAATTACATTGAAAGGAAAAGAGGACTTAAAAATTAAAGTAGCTGAACTGTCAGAGAATAGGCGTAATCAGGTGCGCCACAGTTATGAAGTAGACAAGAGAAAGAGCAATAATATTCAACCTGAAAACATCAAAAGTGAGATCAAAGTAGGGTCAGGACAAAATATACATAATGAAGAAGAGGTCATTCGATGTCGCAAGAAACATGAGATCGTCAGGATCAATGGAAAGAGGTGGTATCCATGTAATGTATGTAAACATAAGTTTTCTAGCTCATCAGATCTAACAAGGCATATGAGGAAACACACTGGAGAAAGACCCTTTCAGTGTTCACTTTGTTCAAAATCTTTTAGACAAAGAGAAGCACTTAAAAGACATATTGAAGTACATAATGGTAATAAACCATATGCTTGTAAACTCTGTGATTCCAAGTTTACTCAGAAAGTTCATTTAGAAAATCACCAGACAGTTCATAGTGATGATAAACCATATAGATGTGAACAGTGTGGCAAAGCATTTTCTCGCCTTGGTTACTATAAATTTCATATTAACATTCATGCATCAGATCCCCCGTATAAGTGTAAAATATGCTCTCGTGGTTTTAATTCATGTGGCAATTTGACAAAGCACAAAAGGATTCATGACGAAGTAAAGCACTATAAATGTCAGTACTGCCCAGCTGCCTTTTATGTGTCTCAGAGTTTGAAGGTACACTCAAGAGTTCATACAGGTGAGAAGCCTATTCAGTGTCCCTTGTGTGGTATAAGCTATCGATTTGAAAGCAGTTTGAGGAAGCATGCTGCATCAAAACATCCAGATTTCGAAGTTAAAGGTGTCATCCTTATACCTCGTTCAAAGAAATAAAATATTTCACCTTAAATGGGTATTAAGGCTTTATATCAGTTAACTTAATTTGCTTAGTGTGGAATATATTTTATGTTATGCTGAGGAGTATGTTGGACAGAAAACATCCAGTGTAATATCATTACAACATACTGGTTTAAGTGGTTTTCTAGTTTTTAGACCCCTGATTATTCATTGTTAATGTGTCCCCTTTTCATATCTTAATATCCTTACAAAGGAAGAATTTTGGTACCATTTGGAACACTATTTAAAACTGTGCTTCATTACATTATGTACATATATATATTGATTCATTTTTTTATTCATATTCCATATACCTATTAATACTTGTAATCATAGTTTGCAGTTAGGAAAAGCAGATGTTAGCTTCATTTTTGTTTTCTTTTTTTCCTTTCATTGCAAGACAAATTTGATTTTCCATTACAAGTGTTTTCATGGAAAATATTGAACTCAAATAAGTATTATTTTGTCACAAGGAAGAAAATGAAGGCTACTTTGTGATGATTAGCAATATTAAATGGTTGAATATTGGTTAGTTTGTTTAGTCTTTTGAAATGTGCAGGTCACATTTATGATTTATATTTCTCAAATGATTGAGAATTTGATAGGAAAAAGTTAATTGTTTGATTTATAGCATCAACCCAATTTATTATTTCCTTATGATATGTAGCTTTGGATACTTAGGTTTTAATGCTTCTTTATTTGTTTCTTTTCCATTATTTTTTCATAGCTCTCTTGTGTTTTCTTTTTTTCTTATATACTGTTTTCATTCAAATCTTGTGTCCTACTTCTCAGATTTGTAATGGGAATAAACCTTGAAAGAACATCTGAAATTAGCTAAGCAAAGTTTCTGAGGGAGTTCTTTTGTAAATGTTTCCGGTGAAATAAAACTGTCAGAAGGCTGCTAACCATTAAGATTATTGCTGCAATGTTCAGTGGCGGTTGTCTTCCTAATTTGTCTCTGGCCTAATTAGAATAGAAACTAAATACCCTGACTTCTATTTTATGTACCTTGCTTTTAAGTCAGGTTAGATGTGAGGATTTCTCTTTTGGCGATTTCTGTTAAAAGTGGAAAATGAATGGCCTGTATTTATATTTATTATTGATTTGAAGATTATCAACATTTTCATGAGAAAACTTGTGCAACTAACAAATTATGTATTGGCTCTCACATTACTTCAAAGTTACTGTATATAATGCATTGATAGTGTCAACAATATGTTTGGGGCTTACTTATGAGCTTATTCAAGGCTTATTGAAGTCTGTTTTAAAAAACCTTAATTTTATACTCCAGATATTGTAACAAAAGTTCAAACTAAGGATGTCACTCATGTTCTAGTGTGTTGGTTGAAAAGGTCCTGTAATGGAATTCAATGGATTAAGACAATAATAACATAAAGCCCCTTTTGGTGACTGATACGTGATTGAAATTTGTAGGTTTATCGCCCATAACAAGAACATTAATTTGTTTATCTGTAAATGTTACTATATGATACTGATTTTATTTAATGTGTTGCAATATATGTTGAACTAACTCTCATGGTGATATGGCGCTTGCCAGCATGATAAAAAAAGACCAGATATCTGATAGTGTGTCTCATCTTTAGATATAGTGATATATATTATGAAATATTTTTTACATCATCTTTGACAACTTTCAAATGTATAATTGCAATATGAAAATAATAGAAGTACAAGCAAAATATGTATGAATTTAGTCATTTCATAAAGGACATCCTGCTTGTAAATAACCTCTATATTTAATTTACATCATCTTATTTTAAAAGAAAACTTCTTGTCTCTTCAGTGCTTTGGAAAATAGAATAGACATGTATATTGATATTTACTTGTAAGTGTTCATGTATAAATAGCCATTATGTAAATGTAATAAAAATGGAGCATAGAATAAGGGCATTGCAGGTATGTAGTAATATTGAATGATCTGTGTTCAGCTAAGTAACACGCTAAATCCTTTTCTAAACATTGTTTATGTAAAGACTATAATAAAAAATAAAAAAAATAAAAAATCTTTTCTCCAAATTCCTTTTTTGTTACCATTCTTCACAACTGCAACAAACAAATGAATCATATGTATCAGTGTTAATTATATTGACTGTGTTAAAATATAAAATTTATGTGTATGCACCTATGTGGTCTTACTTAGTTGTTTCAATATGGGAAAAGAGCTAAGCTCAGACAGTCCTGTCTGCTATATTAAAATTATCATATAACTTTCTAATGTTTAATGTTTGAAAATAAATGTGCTAGACATCTGAGGTCATATAGCACTATGGTAAAGTATTGTGTCGGAAAGGGCAAAGGAGAGTTAAAGATTATGATAAAATGTGTTAGATGTCAAAGGTTTAAGAACGTTATAGGATAATATGGTAGTGAAAAGGGGGATAGGGGAGCAAGTGAGCTAGAGCAGAAGTTAGTATAAAGGGGAGGGTAGGGCAATTGAGTGAATTATAGTGTATCTGTCACTGGAGAATGTATAGGAAAAATGTTTAAGGAAGAATAGAGATAGCTGTTGAAGAGTAAGAGAATAATCTGGGGAGAGGGGATGGTGTTAAATACCAAAGATCAGAGGGTGTTACAGGAGAGTATGGTAATGAAAAGGGGAAAGAAGGGAAGTAAATGAAGTACAGAAGTGAATAATAAATGGGAAAGGTTAAGGAGGTAGATCGATTAAATGAATTGTATTGTATCTGACTGGTGAAGGAATAGGGATAATAGGTAATAATGTTATATATGGTTGTATTAGTAGTAGGGGATTAGGTATCGGGGGGTTGAGGCAAAGGATCAGGAATAGGTGAAGGAGTAGTGTCTGGGGGTTTGATAGGGACAGTGGGGTCTGGGGAAGGATATTGTGATAGAAGAGATTCACGTGTATATCCAGGACGGAATGGGAGGGATAGTAGGGAAGGATGGGGTTTTGGGGGGAGGTTCAGTTTGGGTGGTATGGGCAGTTTGGGTGGTTGAGAGAATGAGGCATCGTGGGAAGGGGTTGGGGGAACATAAGGGGGCAGAGCAAGTGAGTGAATTGCAGTGTATCTGTGACTACGGAAGGAGTTGGGAACTGATCAAAAGGAAACAGAGGTGGCTGTTGGAGAACTAGGAGAAGAATCCAGGGGTTGAGAAAGAGAGACTAGGGAAGGTGGTGAAGCACTAGGAAAAATGTTTGGAGAGGAGGGGTCTGGAGAAGGACACTGTTGTGATAGAGAGGATTTGTGTGAGTATTCAAGTGGTAGAGAGGGTGGGGTATGTTTGGAGGGTGTAGGAGGAAGGGGGGTAGAGGGAACTTGGGAAGGAGGAGGATGAATATCTGCAAATACTTTAAATGTAGCAGGAGTAGGAACAGAGGGACTGGGGGGTGGATGAGGGAGCGGAGTGTTCCCTTGGGTCATCTTTAGGAAGTTTCGGATGTCTTCAAGGGTTTCTGAAGAGGAATTTGGTATAGAGGAAGTTTCGGATGTCTTCAAGGGTTTCTGAAGAGGAATTTGGTATAGAGGACTGAGAAACAAAGGTTCTCTTATAAGGAGGAGAAGAGGAGATGGATATCTGAGGAACAGATGAAGAGGAAGGTGTAGGAGAGAATGTATTAGGAGAGTGTGGAGTGGAACGTTTAGGTTGTCTGGTACGACAACTAAATTGAGGAGGAGGGGTAGGTATCCGGGAAGTGGTAGAGATTGGAGTATCTGAATTTAGGATGAAAAATGGATTTGACTGGTGGATAAGTTGAGTAGACATAGGACCTAGGTTTTGGGTATTGGGAAAAGATACCTGGGGGATGCAGAAATATCTTGTGTAGATGGTGAGGGAGCAGAGCGTAGGACTGTTTTGGAATAAGTTGAAAGAGAAAAACCTCGTCATCGTGCTTCCTGTCTGGCCTCTTGTAGAGTGAGGCCTAGTTTAGATCTGAGGACTGCTACCTCACATTCAAACTTATAGGCAGGGCAGCTCCTATAAAACACATTATGGGAGTCTCCACAATTGGCACATGTACGTGACTGAGCAGGGCAATTTGAACAGTCATGACCAGGTTGGGTTGATATTGTTGGACATGATAAGACAATCCACCAATATAAACCTCATGGGGGAGGTCTCGTCTATGGAAGCTAATCTTGGCAATATTGACATGAGATTTATGTAGGCCTCTAGGAGGAAGAGTGTAACACTGTACTGTCACTGCATCATATTCATCAAGGCAAGAAAGTAGGTCATTTTCACAGTCTGACCAGTTCTTGTTATACATGGGACAAGCATTTGGGGGAATAGAAACAGTTCCAGTACAAGTATTAAGAGTTGGGTGAGGTTCAGCAGGAATGGGTTTGCCTGCAAGGTCAGTTAGGGCAGATAGTGCACGATGCTTGAGCTTCAGATGTAACTGTGACAAGGTGTGAACGATCAGAGCGACTGCGAAAGGTAACCTTGCCTACTTGTTTCTGGAGGCACTGCTGAAAGAGAAGGGTATTCTCAGAATAGGGGGCTGTGGGGGAATCACAAAGAATCGATCCCACTTGGCTGGGCCAAATAGAGTACCCAGAAGGTTTGCAGAAGTAGAGGTAGTAGAAGGACGAGGATGAGAGGAAGATGGGGTGGAGTGGAGTAGTTCTGCGGGGGGGAGGACAATAAGGATGAAGAGTAGTAATAAGGGAAGAGGGGGTTGACATTGAAGAGGGTCATGCATTAGGGGATGAAGAGGAGAATATTGGGGATGAGGAAAAGGTATTTTCCAGGGGTTGAGTAATAACCTGAATGGGTTTTTCAGAATGGTTAGAGTTGTTCGTAAGCGTCGAAGAGGGGGTATTAGCATCAGTGGTCGGAGCCGTGGTCAAAGGAGGGGCAGGGGTTGGAAAACCATCAAAATCAAATTCAGATAGGCTATTTGATGAAGGGGCAAGCCTTAATGCCTCTATCAAGGGTAAGGAATCTTCATTACTGGCCATGGTGAGCCTGAATAAACTGGGGAAAAGAAATGGTCTACCCCTTAGGGTCCCCATGAGGGGTAAGGGCTAACTAATTAACCAAGGGAATACCATGCCCATGGCTCCCGGAGGCCGTTCATGACTGACACAAAACGAGCCTTTCATCCTTTCAGCACAGCTCTCACACCTTAGGAATGAGATAGAAGAAGGGAGTAAAGAAGATACGGAAGAGGAAAGGAGAGAAGAAAGGACCAAGCAAAATTAGTTGAGGCAAGGGCTGAGGCCCAAGGTAGGGGTAATCCTCTACATTGGGTCTCAGTCCCCATCTCGTAAGCCCCCCCACGACGACAATGAGCTAGGTTTTGGGAGGGCTAAGCAGACCAAGTTAGAATTATGTAAAAAGGAAATGTTTCCGTGTTTCTTAAGGCGTGATAGGATCACGGTTGTACATAACATTAAGAGGTAGTTTTCAATGAAGATTTTAGTATCGAAAATAGACAAGAGCTGTCTGCAGTGAGTGTGAAATGACTTGGCTTGATGTAATTGTTTATTTGTGTAATACTTTGGAATGTAAAGATTTTTGTCTTCAGAGATTTTCTTAGGGATGATGTTGATTGGATATTACTAGTTTGATAATTGAAAATCATGAATTGAATCCAAAATTGCACCTGCTGGTCAAATCATAATATATATAATGAATCTTTTGCTTGCATACATTATCATGAAAAATGTGTTGATATTAATGCTACATTATGTAAACATTTGCCCAGAACATTTGTAGTTTGTGATTACATGTTGGCCATCTTTCACAATACAACTTAGCAAAGCATCACAACTTCCATGTCTGCATTAGATTTTATCCTGCCTTTTAATCACAGACCCTCAGCTATATCAATTTGCTTCAGTGTGAAATTTCTCATTTTCAAAAAGTCTACCTGTTAAACAAGACTAAGAATTTGGTAGAGTCACCGTGATGAATGATATTACAAGAATGGCTCAAGATTTTCAACTTCATTAAGTGATTTATTTTAATTGAGGAGTGCACATCCTTATAGATATAAACAGGGAAGTTTATCAGTCAAGGTGGAAGCTAGGTAATGTACAAAACATATTAATGTACAAGTATACCTAAACGGTTGACAGTTAATACTTATTTCATATATATATACTTTATTTGTTACACTACTTTGTACATTTTTATTCAGAGTACATTCATGGCTGACAGCTTATTAACAAAACTCAGTACATATATCAGTGGAATGCCTTGTGAGATTGTTACAAATGAACTCTTTCATTTTAAACAAAATTTTTATTTCTTTTTCTTTTAATGATTTATAAGGTGATTTTCTTCTTGCTATCTTTCATAAGTTCATGTATGAAGTAATGCCTTATAAAGAGAATAATATAAAGTATGTTACTACTACAGGAATATCCCTTGTATTAAATCAAATTAGTTATATCATATATTTCATTAGTTTTGCACTCTGATTGTTTACAGTATAACAAAAAAAAAATGAAGACAAATATTCTAATGCATATTTCAACAAAACAAAACAAAAAAATAATAATGATAAATAGATAACATCATTCTATTATAGTCAAGGATCATCCAAGTACATCAGTAACGTCCTGTCTTCACATATTCTTGTTTGCCCTTCGTGAAGATCTTCTGGAAGCCGTAGTTTGCAACTCCATATTTGCCTTATTAGTAACCCCAGACTCTGCTGTTTTCTTTGGTATTCTGGTTCTGTTCCTTTTCTCACTGCTGTCTTCATTGGGTGCTTCAAGATCCTCTTGTCTATAGAAAGAAAATGTGTAAATAAATAAAAGTACATTTAAAATTCATTCTTAATCATTTCATTAGAATAAACAAATGGCAATATTGTTATCCCTATCCTTAACTCAAAAGTTTTGACTGAAGCTCTTAGCAAGTATTATAAAAAGTAAGGCAGAGTATGCCATTCTGGATAAAGCATTAGAATATGAGCTGTTACAGTTATGAACAAAAAGTATCTCTACCATTGGTTCAAAAAGTGCTGCATGCTTAACCATTTCAAATATACTAACATGTAATTTGAGTATAAACATGCAGTTTCATTTGAATTATTTGCTTTAAATACCCTTTTCTCCAAATATATATAAAAAGGTCACTTGCTGATACATGAGCATGCTTGAAGCCACTGTTGCAAGTCTCTAAATTGTGAAAGGGTTAAGAGCATGTGATTAGCTCTCTTTTAGTAAATGTAACAAAATCCAAAAAGCAACTCAGGAAAACCCACCAATGCAATAAGCTAAAATGGCTGCAAGCAGGAAATAACCAAATTTTAATATTAGGTTCATACATTTTTCTACACCCTGTTAAATCTACATGTTTTGACAGGCAAGAGTATAATAATTCAAATCACAAATTCCATATCAACCCTTTGACATGAAATGGCATGAAATCATGCAATGCCTGTAGTGGACAGTCTCAGATAGCATTTCATAATGATATACCCCATGCCATGGGCTCATAAAGAGGAGCTTGCCTTTCTCTATTTGTAGCAACATAATTTATTTGGAATTAATATTAGATACAGGTACTTAATTTGAATCAAAACCATTTTTTCAAACTTTTGTTTATAACAGAAAGCTACAATCTATTAGGTGCCAAATGTTGTTCTTGTAGTACTGAATGAGCCAGGTGCAAAAGGGGGAAGCTGCCAATGCATGCCAACAAACCATCATCACAGGCCACTATCCAATTTTTAGTACTGCTATTAATGGGTTAATACAAAGATGACACATACACTACAATACACACTTTTTTATCACATTCTCCATGCAGAAGGAGCTGTGAGTAAAAAAAACTTGGAGCCTCTACTTTACTCTATTTAGCTCCTGAGTACACCTCACTATGAACCAAAATCAATCTGAATCTTCATACTGCACCGTCCATCTCGCAGGTTACCAAAGGACACATTGTCCCGTAGTTGGCCATGCTAGTAATGACAATTCCACTACTAGAGAAAATTGTAACCAATTATGTATCAGTCAAAAAAAAAAAGTTAAAATGTCAACATGGGACACTACAAAACTCCTAGATTTTGGAAAACTTAACACCCTATGCATAGAAATTAGGAGAAACACCATCCAAATTCTGGAATGAAGTGAAAGAAAGTGTAATGGCAATGATATCTTCAAATTACTGTAAGGATCATGTCAAATGTTCAAGGTAAAACATTGTAGATGTATCATGGTGTTGCCATCATTCTGTACAAAGATATTAGACACAGTGATAGAATCTAGAAAATTAGACTTTGAGCAAAATCACAAAATTTAAACATGATCCAGGAATGTGCATCCATTGGTGTAGCTAGTGATGAAACCATGTACTCTGTCACAAACCAAGATGTAAAATTTGTTAAGCAATGCAGTAGTTGGAAAATATCCCATAAAAGTGATACCTATGGAGCCTTTAGCAAAACAACAGGATAACTTCCATATTTATTCCTTTCAAAAATAGTAATACTTCTAATTCCACAAACTTTGAGCCATAGCACCAATATCTCATTGCATCAAAATTATCTTTAAAGATAACTGTAGATTATCTGAAAAAGGGGAGAACAAAAGAAAATATATTCTACCTGCTTAAATGGGTTTTCCAAATTATGAAATACAGGTTATAAAAAATATTAACCTGTAAAAAGCTGCCATGGAAATATCATAACGGATTACAGATTTCATGATAAACCAAGGTCTTAGACATGGATGCATTCTATCCACACACCTTTTTAACATTTGTGCAGCACTTGACAACTTTTGAAATAATCCATCACAGTAGAAGTCAGACCTATATATATGTATATGTACATAAATATACATATACATAAATAAATATATATGTATATACATATATATGTATATCATATAAATATATACATATACATATATATATACATATATATATATATATATATATATATATATTATATATATATATATATACATATATACATATATATGTATATACATATATACATATATATGTATATAGATATACATATATACATATATATATGTATATAGATATACATATATACATAATATTGTATATACATATACATATATACAAATATATGTATATACATATACATATATACAAATATATGTATATAATATACATATATATACAATATATGTATATACATATACATATATACATATATATGTATTATACATATACA